CTGGTGTGTGTGAGTCGCGTCCCGGGGGGTGCCCGGGGCTCTGAGGCACCTTCCTACCACCTGCCTTTAGTGCAGGGAAGCCTGATCTGTGCCTGCTGGGGGCAGCTCCCCGACATCCCCAGCCTGAGCCACATTAGTACTCCCCTCCCAGCCCCTGCAGGCTGAGCTGTCCCTGGGCAGGAGCTGCCCCCTCAGGTACCGAGGAGGGGACGCTGGTCCCACTGGGTTTCCCGGCAGTGAGATCTCTGCTGCTCCGTGTTTGCATGGCCCGGCGGGGACGTGGTCCCTGGGCACTGAGCTGGGCCTGGCTGGGGTCTGTGTCCAGGATACCGCCCTCTTCTGCTCTTTCATTGGCCCTTCCTCTGCTTCTGTGTCACCAGCCGCCCAAGTAGGAACCGTCTCCTCCCCAACCCCCTTGTCTTTTCCAGCCCCCCTCCCGGCTCCCCAGCTCACCGTGTCCCCACAGCAGCCTGTCTACGTAACTGGAGAAGCTGTGACCCTGACGTGCTCAGCTGGGGTGTCCACCGTGTCCAGGGTCCGGTTCTTCAGGGACGGTTACAAAATCCACTCCAAGGAATTCCCCTCACCCCGGTACAGTTACTCTGAGTTGATTCGACTGTCGGGGGTGTCTGCATTGCGAGCTGGAAAGTACAGCTGTGAATCCTGGAAGACAGTGTCTGGGCGAGAAATTGAATCAAAGAGGAGCCAACCCATCTCCATAGCAGTGACAGGTGAGACCCCCCTGTCTCCTGCTGTTTCCTGGCCCCCTGGTGGGGTATCTCTCCTCCATTCACGGTGTGAATCACAGCCCAGTCACTCAGCTCATGACATGGCACCCACCAGGTCAGTGTCACTCCCTGGTTCTCTGGATCCTGGGGTGGGTTTTGGGGGAATGTTGGTGCGACTTTGGATTTTGAAAACTTGGGAAGGTTTAAGGAAACAAACCCCAAATCTCCCCCATCTGTGGCAGGGGTCAGGCCCTGGTGTCAGACACACTGTGGGGAGGTCGGGCGCCCCAGCAGTAGGGAGAGGCTCCCAGCTGATCAGTAAAGTTTGGCACTGAGAGGGC